ATATTCCCTGCTCAACCCTGCCCTCCCAGATCCCATGACAATCTAACCCTTCCTGTTCCATTATTCACATTTAACCTTCATGCCACTATATGCCCAAGACCTGTACAAGCTCAAGGCAGATAAAATTCCAGCATGGAGGTAGGAGGCAGACATGAAGTGCCACCACAGCTTAAGAGTAATTGATGGATGAAGTGGTAATTGGTGGATGCTTGGAAAGGGAGAGTCAGTCTTCTTTAAGAATGTAAGCTCTGATAGGTTGACCATGCTCCTGTGAAAGGCCATATACCCAGGAGTGTATGGGAAGAACTGACTATACATGATGGGTTTATTCATTTATTTACTTTTAGGAAAAAACAAAGTCAGGTGGGTAGGGAAGGGGGTTTTCATATGAGACGAGTTGAGAGAGGGGGTTAAATACAATCAAAATCCACTGAAATCCTCACTGCGTGCTACACCAGCAACTGGGCTGGCAAGACATGTCCACTAGTGAAATCGTGACAGGGATGTCGTGGGAATAACCATCCACTTTCTGATTGGATTGAAAGCCCACTAGACAAGATAAAACCCGTTTCTGGCACCATTCTCTATCCGAGAGCTTATGGTTAGAGAGATAATAAACCCTAGGAGAGGACCTACTACCATTACTCTGCTAAATAGACATAGTATTAAACAATTCCTAATGACTAATTATTACACCCATAGATTAAGGTATCTTATACAGAAGCTTCTGTGTGCAGATGATGACCCACACAGAGAAGAAGACCTGGCCAAGGTGCAGAGACTAAGAGACTGCAGAATGTCCAGCCCTAAAGGAAAAGTATATACCACACACACCCCTCCTCCAGAGGCTCAGGGACCCTCACAGAAAAATGGGACAGAAAGAGTGTGAAGAGGCAGTGGGTGACCATAAGGAAACAGTGTCCTCTGGAAACAACAGGGCAACTGGACATATGAACTCAGAGCAGTCTTGACAGCAGACTTGAGACCTGTGCGGGCCCAACCAAGCAAGAACAAATCCCAGCATGAAGAGACGAACTGGGCACAAAGTTTCATCCCTAGCCAAGGAGCTGTTAGAAGTTTTTAGCTGCTATGACAATAAGGATCAAGTTTTTGCTAAGAGTGCATCCCCTGAATAAGTTGACCATAATCCAGTGGAAAGCCACATACTGAAGAATATTTGAGCATCACAAATTGGCCTTGATGAGGGGTTAGGTGTGAATGGGGTGAATCTAGAATGAGTTGGGGAAGAGAATGTGAAGACAATGGAAATGTTGTATGAAATTCTCAAAGAACTAATAAAAATAGCAAGACTGACATGTTTGTCAGTGAAATATGCACTAAGATCGCATAACACTTTAGGAAAGTCAATATCACTGGGAAAGGTAATAATGATACTTTAGTCATAAAAGCAAGTCTAGCACCGAATCTAGAAAACAACAGATGGAGTAAATAGCAAGGAAAAAAAGGGGAATTAAAAGCTGTATGGAACAAAAAATTGAAAATAACTGTACCTATTTCAAATATGTTCTTTAAAGAATATGACTGATTACCTTTTGAAATAAAATCCCTGGCTTTGAAATTTGGGACTAAGATTGAGAGTCACAAAATATTCATTTCCTTTAACTGGATCTCTTGGTCTAATCAGAGCAATAGCCCACTTATGAGGTCATAGCCAAATGTGCCACTAAATACGCCAAAGATTATACTTACAGGAATTTGTTATAAGTAAAGCCAAAATGTGGGAAAGAGTCGATTGTAATGGAGAAAAATCTTAAATAAGTCTCAAAGGAATACTATCCAGTAATTTAAAACAACGATTATGATGCCCAGGCAATTAAAATGATTAATGGGCTATTTAAGGTGCAAAATAGGAAGCGGCTTATGCACCACACCCAAGACTATATGGGCAGCAATAATCAGAGTCTGTGGCCACATTGAATACATTCACAAAGAAAAAGTAGACAGTAATGTTGTAGTAGAAATTGTCCAATAAAAGTGCTTTAATTAGCTAAAATAAATAAATGAATGGATAAATAAATAAATAAATGAATAAGAACACAAAGTTTGGTAGGTATGGAATAGAGGATGGATCTGGGAGGAGATTGTGAGGGGCAAATATGATCAAGCTATAATGTATGAAATTCTCAAAGATTAATAAAATATAGAAAAGTATTGCAGTTCTGAAAATAAATAAATAAAATTGGAAAATATATGCACCATACTAACAATCAAACAGCTATATACAAACTGCATATGAAAGCTAAAAGTAAATATATCAAAATTCCAATAATTTTAATTTCAAATGTAAATCCCCATTCCTTCCTTCCTTCCTTCCTCTTTTCTTTCTTCCTTGCTTGCTTCCTTCTTTTCCTTCCTTTTTCTCTTCCTTTCTCCCTTCCTTTTTTCTTGGTTTTAGGAATTGTGTGCCTACTGTATTTTTCAAGGTCTAGACAGGAAACATCCAGCACAGTCAAGAGTAGGGCTGGAGAAGTAAGGAATTACAGGGATGTCTCCGAAGTGTAAGTTAAGAGATGCAGCCAAAGATGATTGAAGACTGGGGTCTCCATCAGCTGGAGCCATTGATGCTTTTAAAACCAAAAGAGAGACAGGAGGGAGCAGCGCCTGGAGAAGTCACAGGACCACGGTGCTCAGAGAGGAGGATCCAAGAGGAGCCACGACAGAGCTGCAGTGAGGGGTGGGAATAGAGGAGAAGTCATCACAGAGCTGCAGTGAGGGGTGGGAATAGAGGAGAAGTCATCACAGAGCTGCAGTGAGGGGTGGGAACAGAGGAGAAGTCATCACAGGGCTGCCTATGGGAATAGAGGAGAAGTCATCACAGAACTGCCTATGGGAATAGAGGAGAAGCCATCACAGAGCTGCAGTGAGGGGTGGGAACAGAGAAGTCATCACAGAGCTGCAGTGAGGGGCAGGGAAAGATGGTCCAACCTTCCTCTCCCCCACTAATCTCCTGTCAGTCACTGCCATTGGCTGAACACAGCTGCACACCATAGGGTAAAAACACAGGGTCTTGAAGCCACCCTCTGGGGCACAGGGAGGGTGAGGAAAAGGAGGAAGATGGGATCTGAAAGGTGAGCATTGGTATTTTATTTCTAGCATGGAAAAAATGCATATTTAAAAAAATAAATTGAAGCAGGGCGGTGGTGGCGCACGCCTTTAATCCCAGCACTTGGGAGGCAGAGCCAGGCGGATCTCTGTGAGTTCGAGGCCAGCCTGGGCTACCAAGTGAGTCCCAGGAAAGGCGCAAAGCTACACAGAGAAACCCTGTCTCGAAAAACCAAAAAAATAAATAAATAAATAAATAAAAATAAAAAAATAATAATTAATAAATAAATAAATTGATAGGAAGCTTGGTAATGCAGTAGATAGTGCATCAGTTTCCTCAAAGTTAATTGAAATCAGATCAAAACTCACTTCCTTCAGTAGTCAAATGCAGTTTGAATAAAATGCAACCATGCACTACCATTGACAGAGTGTCCTAGGTGATGCCTGTGTCCAATGCCAAGCAAGGTGCCCAGGGCACACATCTTTGAAAACATTTACTCAAGGAGCAAACAAAGACTCTAGGAAATATGTAGAAGTTGAAAGCAGGTGGATTATGCAAATAAGTATTGAGTACTTAACCATCTCAAGTACTTCACAAGTGTTAGTTCAATAAATATAAGTCCTGTAAAGTAGCTATTACCATTACACCCATTTTACAGATCTGCTAACTGGGGTTGGGGGAATAGGCAAATAGCTTGAGGCTCCATAGCTGGTGAGTGAATACTTTGAGGTTTGAGCAAATGGCTCCACTTGCAGAGCACAGGCTCTTAGTTGCTATGTCATTTGGGAGGACTACATGGCAGACAATAGAGAACTAGAATTGAGCCTAGAGAGGACTAACCCGTGACAGTGATGGGTCAGGGGTGTGTGTGTGTGGGGGGGGGAATGAAAGAAAAAAACTAGTTAAGTTCACTCAAGGCCAAGGAAGTAGTATTCAGGAAAGGCCCCGAGAGATACTTTAAAGGACATTCTCAGAAAGGCAGCTGGAACTCAGTCAGAGGTGTGTTGAATGGGATCATGACTGGAACCATGAAATAAACAGGACAAGTTGTAGTGAACTATCTCATAGTCGTTAGGTAACACATGAGGAAAATCCACACCCCCGCCCCTCTCTCTGTGTGTGGTGTGTTTATTTAGCATCGTTTCTTTCAAGTAAATGTGCTGTTTGACAAGTGCTCTAAGTGAGACTCTCCTTTGCACTGAACTGGCAGTGTTTGGGCTTCCTGCCCTCTGGGATCACTAGGGTACCTCGAATCCAGGACAGGATGCTAAGTGTGGTTACCTACACTGAGCTCTGCTGCCAGCTTTGGCTGGGCCTGTGGTTGGAATTCCTAAGCTTGCCTGGCTATTTCATCATGTTCCTTGACAGGTGGCTGAGAGACTCTGTTCCCAGCTCAACCAAGTCACCCCACTCTCAACGTGCCTCAGTTTCCTTTGATAGTAAATTAGGCTTGAACAGCCTGTAGAACAGCTCTTGCTAAAGCAAGGGGACAAGTTCTCACCCAGGGTAGCAGATCTGAGAGTGTAGAATGGACCACTATGGATTCACGGACAAAAAGGATATTTCAGGTTCTCATAAATGGGGTAATTAGTACGTTGTACATGTTGTTAGGTTAGGAAAAGCTGAGAAAGAAAATTTAAAACTGGTAGAAATATGAATGATCTACTCATAGGAAAACATACACATATACCCACACATAACCAGAAAGAGAAACACATATAACCACACATGCCCCCAGCCTCCTACATACACATTCATTTCCTCTACTAAGAAACAGACTAAATAAAAATATGTACTGATGTTGTGAAGATATTTAAATAACTAAGTTTTTGCCTATTTTCTTCTTATTTAAACTTTTACAAATGTTTAGCAAATGCCTTCTCTACTCCCAGGTCTCAGCACTTGTATCTATAATAGTAAAAATGCCAGAGTGAAGTATTTCTCCCCCAGTAAGTCTTTATTCCAGTGAAAGAAACATTAAAGAAAACCAAGAGACCAATCAATCAATCAATACAAATTCTGATAGATGCTATAAAGAAAATGAAGAGGCTCCTCTGAAAAGGCTCTTGGGCCTGTGGGAAAGCCCATGAATGTGATGTAAATGTCATGTTTGAGCTGACATCCAAACACTGAACAGGAGCTGGCTGGGTAAAGAAAGATAGGACTTTCCTATTGGAGTAGACATCAGAAGCAGGAATGCACTTGACAAAGACGATGCCCATGTGACTGAAGAGCAAGGATCAAGGACACCAGTGAGGCTGGAGAGCTAGCCGATCACATAGTACCACGAGGGGATCTGAGGATCTCAGCCTTACTTCAGCTGCATAGGGATTTACAGAAGAGCTCCATGGAGGGCCCTTGAGAGCACAAACAATGAGGCAGTTGGGAGACACTCGTGTGCAATGACTTCTGCATCTACAATGATCTCGATGGCTGTGGTAAGTCAGAGTAGCAGGTTATATCTAAGGGTGAAAAACAAAGGATTTGGTGACTCACAGGTGTGAAGGGTATGAAAAAGCCGAGGACAAATGTCCAGAGCTTGTGTGTGGGGGGCAAAAAAGCTGTTTTTGTTTTTGTTTATTTTATCCCTTTTTTTGAGATTATAATTGCTTCATTTCTCTGTTTCTTTTTCTCCCTCCAAACTCTCCCACATACCCCTTCTTGCTCTCTTTCAAATTCATGGCTGCTTTTTTTCATTAGTTGTTGTATGTATATGCATGTCCACATACATGCCTAAACACATAAATACAACCTGCTTGGTCTTTGCAATGCTCTTTGTGTGGGAAGGTCTGTTTATTGTGATGGGGAGCTTGCTTTGAGGAGCTCACCACCTGACATGCAGGGGAAACCTTGGCACTGCAAAGTTTTGTATGCAGTGCAAGTGCTTGAGTTTCTCACTTGAGGAATGCACAGAGGACGAGCAGAGCAGGAAGAAAGGGGCCGATCATTCTGCAGAGCTGAAGCTGGCGCCTGAAAGACAAAGAACAAGTTGGGACCCCTGTGAACTGCAGTAACGACGGCAAGTATGCCCTCTGGTGCAAAAATGGCCAAATGTTATGGGACTAACCAGTGGCTTTCTGAGTTACGGCTCACTTTATAGGAGGAGATGCATGCTTGGTACTGTAAATCTGACCCCAAACCCATGTTTGGGGAGCTTTCAGGCCCCAGGGGTAAGTCTACTGTAGTTATTTTGCTAAATGGACACACCACCCAACTGCCTTCTAAATTCATACTTCTGTACCAATAGATTGGTATATATAACTCTTGAACATCAGAGAAGTGGCTTTGTGCAGCGGATGACAGTTAATGGAACATCTCCCAACTGGCCCAAGTATTTAGAATAAGAGCCTGTGGAGTGCTCAGCTGCAAATGACACAGCTACAGAGCTCCCGTCCTTCTCCAAATCTCGGGGACTATGGCAGAAAACGGGGGGGGAGCTGGCGATAGGGGAGAGGCAGAGTGAAACATCGTCTTCTGGATAGGATGCATGAACTCACAGCAGAGGTGGTGGTTTGCACAAAGGAAAGCCCATCCATGTGAGCCCCCACCCTTAACTGAGGAGCTATGGACACGGGGGTGGCTTCTAGGGAAGGAAGAGTCAACTTTCTTACGGATGTGGCTCCTGGAAGGTCAACCACACTCCCGTGGATGAGTCTAATACACAGCAGTATATGGGCAGCACAAAGTGGAGTTGACAGGTTATTAAACGCAGAAAATAAAGAGGACGGAAAGTTGGAGGGTAAGTGTGGAGGTGGGAGTGGCTCTGGGAGGAGTTACCGGGAGGAATTGGGGTTGAACACGACAGTTAATATAGGGAGGGAAAAACATCCAGAACTCAAGATAAATCTCAAAATTACATTATATCCTTTTTTAGAATTCTTAAATAATTAATAAAAATATTTGCTTTTAATAAACAATGAAAAGGAAAAGAAATGGGAGGGAGGCCTTTTAGGAAGAGGGTCAGCATTTAAGACGGGAAGGTTTTTTTGTTTGTTTGTTTTGTTTTTTAATTTTTTTTTTTTTTTTTTTTGGTTTTTCGAGACAGGGTTTCTTTGTGTAGCTTTGCCCTTTTCCTGGAACTCCCTTGGTAGCCCAGGCTGGCCTCGAACTCACAGAGATCCTCCTGGCTCTGCCTCCCGAGTGCTGGGATTAAAGGCGTGTGCCACCACCGCCCGGCTTGTTTTTTAATTTTTGATTTTGGTTTTTTGAGACAGGGTTTCTCTGTGTAACTTTACACCTTTCCTGGATCTCAGTCTGTAGACCAGGCTGGCCTCCTCGAACTCACAAAGATCTGCCTGCCTCTGCCTCCCGAGTGCTGGGATTAAATGCATGCACCATCACCACCCAAGACGGGAAGGTTTATGTGAAAGTAACTACAACTAGGCCTTAGAGCTCACTGATGCTGCTTACACTGTTGGCACCAGCCAGTCCACAGCCAGGACCGTATGGACACTTATCACTCCTCGTTGGCTAAAGGAGAACGAATTGACTGCAGCTACCCTCCTTCTTCCTTGTGCACCTGAGATGTGTATGAAACAACTAATACTTGTTCCTGCAGTTTACCTAAAAGAAACCATTTGTATGGCTAGCTGGCTTTTGTCTTTTAAATGTCTTCATTGTATTCCTATGAGTTTGGAAGTAACGCTGGCTTGGAAATTTCCATTCTGCACTTGTCTCTGCACCTCCCCCTGCTGCTAGCACAAGGAGGTGCTCAAGGAAAGGTCACTAAACTGTAAGAATCAGCAGCGCATCCGTGGCAGGACGCACAGATAAATAAAGCAAAGTTTTTGCCGTCGAGAGAGTCACAGGCATAAATCCAAAGGAATAAAAATATATGCATACATCCTTGTATGTTGTGTGATAAATGTGTCCAAATATATATATATATATATCGTCCCTCCCTCCCATTCAAAAGTTAACAGACTGCAACCAAAGCCACATGTTTTCCAATCTATAAGCATCGGCTGGCTTGAAATCTCCAAAGCAGAAACCGGAGGGCACAAAAGCAGATTCAAGCACAGTCTGCGGAGGTCCTTGAAGTGACCCATAAATACTCACCGAGCCTTTCCCCGGCCCTGCACCTAGTCATAAATCCCCATTTCTTTTCAAGAACTTCTACATTTGATCAACGGTGCAGGGTGATGTTTAAACCAGGTCATTTGGAATATTCGATTTTCATGCATAGTTTTAAGATTTTAATTTCCACTCTGCAAACTGGCTCAGATTTTCCCTGTCCTGAAATAAATCAGGATTTCTAAGACATGAAAGCGGGCTCCAAGCACAGAAGGGCTTTCTGAGTGTTCAGCCTGCCTGCAGTGCTCAGGCAAGTCATACTTACAAACGACTTACCTCTCACCTCATCTCAGCCCCGGGGAAAGGCCTGGAAAACTGGCAGCTAATGTGGTGAGAGAAAAATGCCCAGCACTCAAGATCAATCTGTCAAAAAGAGGCTGGAACCGCTCCTCAAGGGAGAGGGGAAATAAACCCAAAGATGCTATGAAACGTTTGCTCAACCAATCTGAAATTAATTGGTCCCCCACTCAGCCTCCCCTCCTTTAAGCCTTCCCAGTGGCCATGTGCTCCAAGTGGGTAGCCAGCTCTCAGCAGCAGAACGGATGGTTTGTATACGATACCGACAGTACGTCACAACACGGAGCGTGTTCGAGCAGTCTTTGGATTCCTTTAGCGGACTGATTGCCTGCTTTAGAAAGGTAAAGCAGAGAAGAGACCTGTAGTTGGCAGCAGAGAGGAACTGAGTCCTCCACTCTGTTGTGCTCAAGCTACGGGACTTTAGGGTAGTTAGCCATCTCAACCAATCTGAAATTTATGTTTTTTATCTGATAAAAGGGGGTGGGGAAACGTCTTCTCACTGGGATTCCATGGTAATGTGAGTGAATTCACTTTGGGAACTGGACTAACTGAACACAAACACAGGCAGGAAACTATCACCATAAAGGACTCAATAAGAACTCCTTGAATCCTATAAATAATAAATAAATAAATCTGAAAGAAAGAAAGAAAGAAAGAAAGAAAGAAAGAAAGAAAGAAAGAAAGGAAGGAAGGAAGGAAGGAAGGAAGGAAGGAAG